GCTCCTGAGGGGTTGTATTTACTTCAGTGATTCACTTTAAAAACACCCGGGGTTTAACATCCTGGTAACAGATGTATCTGCCCACTGGTGTTTCATTATAAACTCCTGTGGATTATTCTGCTCCATTCCATCCACTGTTCATCAACTGTGGACACCCTGTAGGCCTGTGGAGCAAGTGTGGCTAAAACCATTAGCTGTGTCTAATTCCCTTCATTGAAAGTAATAACGCTGAAAGAGCAGGTTGTGGAAAATCAGGTAGGAAGAGCAGAGAGTCCTGGTTTCTTTAACAGAATTCATTTGGGCTGCAAAAAGTTCTTTTTACAACCACAGACTGAAGCCTTAACAGTTATGATTCATTATCGTTATTGGCTTGTCTATGCTGAAGCTAAGCTAACAGCAAAGACTTTAAACTTTAAACTCAACATTATTATAATGAATTCATAGGCTAACATAAACTAAGACCAGGAATAACAATATGGCTGCCTGTTATATCAACTGGTAAAACTGTGATTTTATTATGATCCAACTCTTTTCATTTTGACTTATTATTGAAAAGTGATCCAACTATTTTCCTGAAATTAAAGTAACAACATTACCAGTTACCAGTTGTCAAATAAAAAGTAAATGGAGTATAGTTTGATTCTGGTACAGTCACATGACATGTGGTGAAAGACCAGGTAAAGAAGTCAGGAACTAATATAAATACATTGGTGTGAATAGAGGATTTTCCATATAAACATGTAAACACACAAAAGCCAAAGAGAGACTAATCAAAGAAATACATGGAATAAATATAGTAGTCATAACCCAACACATTCCCAAGTGTCCTGTTTTGGATTCCAAGAAAAACCATGTGAGCGATGAACATTTGTTTTTAACCACTGTTTTTCACTCAAATTATTTCACCAGAATTCTGGATGATAGCCACTGATAATTTCTGTGCTGTAAATCTATCGACAGAAAATATTCCTAGTGGATGTAATTGATGATCAGCGACCAAATCCTTGGCTTTCCTTTATTTTTATGTTAGACGTGAGTGTGGGAAAAGAGCGCTGACCTTAAGTTTTATCTTTGTAACATAGTAGCTTGTAACAAACTCAGCAGTTCTGGCTGTTTGGCCTGATGTCGTGGAAGTTTTCAAACATTATAACAGTCTCCTGGTCTCCTGTGGCCAGTGCGGGACAGCAGAGCGCGGTCTGTGTGGCAGCTGGACGAGCTGCAGGCGGCCGACTCTGGAGATAAAGTCAGCTGTTGGAGTTCACAGTTTAGCAGACCCTTCACCCTCTCTGATAATGCTGCAGTGTTTACACACTCCCACTGTGATGACACCACTCATCAAGGAGTAGGAGGGGCGTTAAGGTGATTTATGTTATTAAAGGTCACATTTTGAAGTCAAGAATTTACAGTGTGATTGGTTTCTCGCGTGAATTCAGTTGTTGATGAAGTCAGTGTTATCTATCCACTAATAGAACTGCAGTTGACCTCAGATCCATTTGTAAATTAGGTTAAAAAAATACAATAATAAAACGCTATTTATTGACACTGTACAGATTATAACATGAATAATATTAATTATTATTATTGTATAAGATATTACAGTTTCATTCTTATCTTAAAATAAATCTTTACATAAGGTTCCAGTTTTTCACCACAGGCTTTGATCTTCCACTCAGCTGTTGCTTGCTCTTTTTCTTAGTCTTTGGTGTTAATTGGCTGTCACCTTTGTATTTACGTTGTATTATTATTAGAGCCACCCTTTTAATCCACCAATAGTCATTTTAACCTGAAAAAAGAATTCATCCTCCAAAATAACAGAAGAAAACACCAACATACACTACTAGTGGCCAATTAACAATAAAGAAAAACAGAAAATAAAATCCCATTTGTACATTTCTGTTCTTTTAGAATAGGAACTATACAGAGATCCAGGAACAGTCGATGTGAAACCCTTCTTTATTTCCTGTCACCGGGTTTGAAGTATTTTTTTGTGATTTACTTTTCTTTATTTACTGTTTTAGTCTCAGTTGCTGTTGGCCCTGAATGTTTGGTCTCCATGCTGTGTCCCGTCTGCTGCAGACGTTTGCCTCTCAGGGACAATAAAGGATTCTTGTTTTGACTTGAACAACGCAAAAGAAACCCCAAAAAAGCAAAAAACAAACACAAATGCCTGTGGTTTGATTTCTTTGTCCTCCAGTCTGTACGTTGAAGTGTCTCTAGTGGAAATTCAGAATTGTTTATTCTCAAAGGTTAGTCGGTTTATATTATATAAGATTATTTTACCAGTGGATATTTCTCCTGCCTGTGTGTGTCCCTCTGCCCCACAGTCCAAATGTGTTCCAGGTTTATGTATTGAAGAAAGAAAAGTCCCATTGACTGATACTGATCTGATCTTATAGCTGCTGCAGCTCGGCCCAAAAACCTCATTCCTCCTTTAGCATCTCCTCTTATACACACTGTATATAATACATCACTGTGTGACTCTGATGCTATCACTGTCTCTGAATGGGCCCATTATGTTTGTGCTCACACAGATATTTTCAGTATATAAAGTAGTCGCGGTGTGTGTGTATTTTTCATACAGTGCCACATGTGTGTGTGTGCATGAATGTTTTTTAATATTATACTATAATACAGGGTTACCTGTGTTGTGTGTGTGCATGAATGTTTTTTAATACTGTACAGGGTTACCTGTGTTTTTTCTGTGTGTGTGCTGGTGTGGTGTTCTGTTACATTTGATAACATGCACATTCTCTCTCTCTCTCTCTCACACACACACACACACAAACACAGACATCTATCTCTATATTCAATAAGTGGCTCGTTTAGTTTTTCCTACATTACCAGGCCATAAGTCTGAATAATTTACTTGGTTTTCATCCGTCCTACACACACAGGCCTCAGACCCTAACCTTAACCCTTACAAACTAATGACTAACCCTAAGTTTTGCCTTACATCTAATGCTAACTTCAGACTAAACCTTGAACCTCTAAACCTCGTCACTCAGGGAAGACCTGCAAATGTCCCCATGTGGACCAAGTCTCTGTACAACAATAGAACAACTACAGTTTGTTCTACAAATATAGCTATGCCATGAACACACACACACACTCACACACACTTCTCTTTACAGCCCTTTGTGTAAAAGCATGAATGAGGTTTCCATTAGTTTCCTTCTCATTCATAATCACATCACATGTTCCGGATCAGAACAGTCTTTCTCCCTAATCCGGCATTAATATCAGTTCTTATTAATGCATGTGCACACGTATCATTATGACCACATTCATGTAAACGTGCGCCTGTGCGTGTTTGTACCCCCGAAAATTATGCACATGCATGCATGTGTGTGTAATCCTGTGTGGGAAAACGGGCCTGCGGTGAGTTGGAGCATGAACGCGATAGTAAACACAGACTATTATCAGTGATAAAAGTCCACTTCTGTTCTGTGGCTGTTTGACTTGTCGTACATTTACTGTGAGAAAACCGGAGATAAGGCTTCGGAGGTAGAAGGTGGTAGAAGGTGGTAGAGTTGTTTAATTGGAAAGGGAAAGGACAATGGGCACCAACGGGGGGGTGGGAATGGAGGTGTTTAGAGACTCCCTGCAGCCTGACTCCGACATGGGAAAACACTTAGGCCTTAACAAAGCGTGGCCACCCCTCATTGACTTCACAGGCCTGGAAGGGGAAAAGGAAGGGATGAAAAAGAGGAGAGTGGGAGCAGGTCTGAGAAAGACCCAGGTCTTTATACCTTAGAATCTGAACGTCTGGACTGGAGCTGACCTGGGTTTCCTCCTTGTTTCCTCTTCTTCTCCTGTTTTTCCTTTTTGTAGAACAGTAGTCAATCTAGATTTCTTTTCATCCTTTTTGCAATTTTGTTTTAGTAAAAATTGCTAAAAAGTTCTCAAACAAATAATAACACAGATATTTCTCTACATCTTACATTTTGATTGAATTTGACAATGCTTTTAAAAGTTGTTTTGAAATTATTATTATATTATTATATTTCCTAAACCTTTAGACTGCAAACGGCTCTACAAAAACCTTATTTAGACTGCAAACGGCTCTACAAAAACATTTAAGACTTGTATATTATTCTCTCTGTGGAACTTTCCGGTGCAGAGTTGCAGGATGTGAATATTCTGACCACAAACGTATGGCATCAGCTCTAAATCATAGATTTGGAACGATGTGGAAAAAGTTAGATCTTTAAAATTATACATGTGCTACAGTCTCACGCTGCGTCCCTGTGTCTCTCACATACGTGAACACCGTAGGCCTTCATGTCATCATGTGCCGTCGCTAAGGAAACCCAAACCTGGTCTGTCATTATACTGTCATGCTTGGTCCATGACATCACTGGTCGGTCATTCCCGGCCGAGTGGCTTCACACTAAAATAGAAACATTACACGAGTCCTTCATCATGAGCTGTTCAGCAGATCTGCGTGACCACTTCACTGGGCCGAACTCTGCTCCGTGATGTGAAAGGTTTAGTCCAACGTCACCTTTGAAAAATAAAACAGCTGACTGAATACTGCCCCTGGTGGAGGAAGGAGACTCTGGAGAAACCAGACGTTTGACTAGATATCTAGCCTATACCCCTGTGTGTTCTTAGGAAAGACCCTCAACTCCAGGTTGTTACCAGTGCAGGGGCATTTGTGTAGATGTGCTGTTTGACCCGGTGCAGACTCACTGGTTCAGTGGAGAGATGAGTGTTTGTACATCTGGTGTTTGTATTTATTATATTTATTTTCTCTGTTATTCATCTGTTCACATTTACCCAAGATTTACTCAAACTATTCACTTCTAAGTTCAACTGCAACAGTCGTTACGGTCAGACCTGTCTCATGTCTGAGCTTACATCTCCATCTAGTGGCATATTTATAGAATGTCCCTTATCAGGGGCAATTGTTTTACCTGATTCTTTGACTTCCTTTCAGGGTTTAAATGTCTATGTCTGATTTTTCTGTCCTCTTGTCTCTTTTATCTCCATGTCTGCAGGACGGTGGTCCCTCTGTTTGATGAAGACACTGGTCTGTTGATACTGTCTGGACAGGTGAGATTCACTCTCCTGTTTTACTTTTACAGTAGGATACTGTCTGGACAGGTGAGATTCACTGTCCAGTTTTGCTGTAGTATTACTGTAGTCGTTTTTCAGTGAGTTGTTTCTGTCGTTTCTGACACTATTCATCATGTTGTCTCATTAAAGTCTAATGGAGAAGTGTTGACAGATCTGTACTCTGCAGGTCAGCCTTCTGGGCTGTCACAGCTTGTTTAATGCTTCAGGGTTGTGTCAGTCTTTCTCTCTGTGTGAGTCAGTGATGTTTTTATTACTCAGGGAGAAACAGTGATCGATTGTTTCGAAGTCTCTACCTCTGAGCCTTTCCTCACCCAAGGTAAGAGTTAGCAGATCATCTGTTAGCTGTCGGTTAAACTCCCACTCACTGATTATCTCACGGTTTTATGTCACTTCTTTTGGCTGCAGTGAGCCACTGCCTGGTGGATAGCTCCACTCGAGGTGTCGCCATGGTTCCCAAACGTGCCCTGGATGTGATGTCCTGTGAAGTGATGCGTTTGCTGCAGTTGACAGACAGCTGCATCGTGCCGGTCAGCTATCAGGTGCCTCGCAAGGTACGTTCAAAAACACCTGGGAGTTGGTAACTGACCGGTAGATTAAACCAGGATGGTCCACACAGTTCACCAACCACCAGGTTGTTCTGCCTGCCTCTCCAGCATTCAGGCCAGGAGTTTCATGACGACCTTTACCCAGACACAGCGGGAACGACTGCAGCCATGTCTGCAGAGGAGTGGTGGCAGGGAGGCAACAAGCAGGTAACTTCACACCTCACCCTCCTCCACCTGATCTGAGAACATGTTACAGAAGCCACGGAAGACTCACTGACATTGTGGTTTGTCCTCAGGTGGAGAAAGTCAGCCTCCACCCTGACAAGCAGCCAAGCAGCCCAAACCGATGCCTGCTAAAAAGGAAGGAAAGGAGGTGAAGGAGGTGAAGGAGGTGAAGGAGGTGAAGGAGGTGAAGGAGGTGAAGGAGGTGAAGGAAGGCAGTAAAGGGGTGAGAAGATCTCCTTCTTGTTCTTGTTGATATCAGTCCAACTCTTCATGATGTTTCTGCTGACAGTTCAACTTGACGTTTCTCTACAGGGCCCCTCTCGTGGCTGCTCAGCCTCCAGCAGCCCTCTCACTACTCCCAGCAGCAGCGCTGCGGCCTCTCGCTCTCCCTCCACCACCTCAGGCCTCTCCTCCAGCTTCTTACCGAGTCCAAGTCCCAGTCAGAGCACCAAGGCCATCCAGAACCTGCTGGGTAGGAACGACTTCACTCACTCAGAGTGTCCAATATAAAAGTGACATTGAATTTTCAGCATTATAACCTGACCAAGTTAAGAAACTTAAACAAACATGTGGATCAAAGGTCGATCCACTGTTGGTTGCCATGGTGATTTAGACGCTCCAGAATCTGTCTTCCAGGTCCAACCTCCAAGTTCCGACACATCCAGGGTGTATTAATGCACAAGGACACGCACATCACCAACATACGTTGCCTGAACCTGACCACACCAGGAGAGTGTGACGGCTTCTGTGTGAACCGTGAACGTGTGGCGGTTCCTCTGTCCATCTCTGGAGGACAGATCGCCATCTTGGAGGTAGAGCAGCAGCAGCAGCTGGCTGGTTTATTATTCTTCTGTACCAAAGTGATTATGTAAAAGACTGTTACACAAATGTGTCAAAGTGACTTCTTGCATCGTTGTCTGCAGCGCTCTCAGCCCGGCAGGCTGCCAGAGACATCGATGCCCACCATCCAGAACTCTGTCAATGTGGCCGACCTGACCTGGGACCCCTTTGACACACACAGGCTCGCTGTGGGTGAGTGACGAAAACACCCGTATGTCCAGGACTCTTTGTGAAAATGAATTTGTCCAAAAAAGTCAGTGTCCCTCTCTGTGTCTGCCGTAGCTGGGGACGATGCTAAGATCAGAGTGTGGCAGGTTCCAGAGGGAGGACTGAAGGAGATTCTGACTGAGCCTGAGATGGTACTACAAGGTAGAACACCGACCAGAACACAAACAGAATCACTGCACAGTCATTACCAACAGTGAAGTGAAAGTTTGGTTGACAAACAACCGCTGTGATCCTTCACAGGCCACACAGAGAAGATCTACTCCATCAAGTTCCACCCGTTGGCCAGTGGACTCCTGGTGTCTTCATCGTACGACTTCACCGTCAGACTGTGGGACCTGGAGTGTGGAGAGGAGGTCAAAGTCCTCAAAGGACATGAAGACCAGGTCAGTAGAAGTAGAGCGCGTCATTTCATGCATTTCCTTCCATTCCAACGACCTAATGTGAGTCATTTCTGCTGAATGGTCAGATTTTTGGACTAGCGTGGAGCCCAGATGGGAAGCTACTGGCCACAGTGTGCAAAGACGGGAAGGTCCGCATTTATGACCCTCGAAAGTCCACTGCACCCGTGAAGGTACGAACAACTGTAGCCTGCATATATGAGGGGAGATTCAGTATCTGTTAAACCAGGAATCTCATGCATTTATATTTTCATATCTGAGTTACAGTCTCTGAGCAAAAACTCCAGTTTGATTAAATCTGCTTTTAACATTTATTTGTTTTCTTAAATATAAACTGTAGGAAGGCCCGGGGCCTGAGGGCCACAGAGGAGCTCGGATCCTGTGGGTCTGTGATGGGAAGTTCCTGCTGGTGACTGGATTTGACAAGTGTGTTTACCTCAGGTGTTATCGTCGCACTGCTGCACAGACACAGTCAGAAATAAACGGTTGTCCTTGTCTGTCTCGTCCTGTGTTGCAGTCTCAGCCAGAGACAGATGTCCCTGCACTCTGCAGACTCTCTGTCCTCTGGACCTCTGGCCACTACCAACATGAACGTCTCACCCTCGACACTCATTCCCTTCTATGACCCCGACACCAGTGTGGTCTTTCTCACTGGGAAAGTAAGTGAACACAGTCAGAGATCTCAGGCTACGCTGATGTCAGCGTTTAATCTGATAGGGGTTTGATCAGAGATTAAGATTTGATCAAACCTGACATGTTTAAAAAAAAAACTATTTCACACAGCACAGTGTTTCACCCATATAAATATGCATATGTTGTATTTTTTGTTTTGTTTTCTAGGGTGACACTCGAGTCTACATTTATGAGATTGTCCAGGAAGAGCCCTACTTTATGGACTGCAGCAGCTTTAACTGCCCTCAGCCTCATAAGGTACTGAGCTGAGGACAGTTGACACTTGTTTCTTTTTTGACATTTGATGACGAGTGTGTATGTATGTAAAATATTACTTTTAAAAAAACAAGATCATAACATGTTCTTAGTACCTTTAGTCTCTGTGTTTGTTTTAAAAAAGTTTTTACTAATTTTGGTTGATTCCCAGGGTCTGACCTTTTTACCAAAGACGGAGTGTAACGTGCGTGACGTGGAGATAGCTGTGGGTCTGATGCTCACCAAGACCTCCGTAGAGCCAGTGGCCTTCAGAGTGCCTCGTGTAAAGGTGAGTCAATACTACCCCCTACAGGACATCTGTAAGTACTGCATCTCACCAGTTAAAATCACTTAAAACATAATAAGAAACATATAAGACAATGAAAGGTTCTTATTTAATTCGATTTGAACACTGCCTCTGTGTGTCCACACTTCAGAAAGAGTTTTTCCAGGACGATGTTTACACTGATACAGCAGTGTGGTGGGAACCAGCTCTGACCGCTTCGGCCTGGCTGTCAGGCATCAATGGACAACACAAGAAGATGAGCCTGAAGCCCAAAGACATGACTCCAGGTCAGGATACACAACAAGGAACCCTTAAAATAATCATTTTGAAACTGCATAATTAATATAGATGCTCATCTGAACAGTATGTAATGATGTAAAAAATATATGAATATGATTTTCCGTGGTGGTGTTGTCAGCGAGTGAAGCCCCAAAAGAAGCTCCAGTCCGGAAATACCTTCCTTCATCCGTTTACCTGGAGGAGAAGACTGATGAACAGAAGAAAGAGGAGGTGAAAAAAAACTAAACCAGAAGAAAGAGGAGGTGAAAAAAAACTTAAAAATTAAATTTTTTCTAATACAGATATTGTGTTGTGTTGTGCTAAGCTTTGGGACAGTAAAGACATGTTTGGACCTTTAACTTGTGAACATGTCACTCAGCTGCTCAGTGCCATGGTGGCCAAGCTGGGGAACATGGATGACCCACTGCCACAGGAGTCTTTTGAGGGCGTGGATGAAGACGAGTGGGTGAGTGACTGTAATAGATAGGATAACATTGTTCTTAAAAAAGTAAATATATTATGAAGTAAATTTAAACACAGTGGCCTGTATTTCTTAAATGTACTTGCACACAGCATGTAGCTATAAATACCTATAAAATAAAAAATGTTAGATAACCTGGGTGGGGTTTTTTTAGATTTATGTAAAATAAATATTTAGTCACAATAAGCTTTACATTATTTGTCCCTCTGTCCTTTCTGTCCTCTCTGTTTCCCAGGACGACTAAAGGAGACCTCTGGTCTTTAGTTTGATTTTGGTGCCAACAACATTGTGGAGAGGCCAGTCTTCATGTTGCCATGTGTGTGAAACAGTGCCATTTATAGATGCCCTTTGAAACACCATCCTAGCCTACTTCTTTATAATAATAATAATGATGATACAATAACTAACAGCACAATGTGAACACGGAGTCTTGTCTGTTTATAATGTGTTTGTGATGTAAAGAGTGACTCACATTTATATCAACGCATTTTCAACAATCAAATCATGCCATGGTGATGGTGATATTTAGGTGAAACCTGCCCCAACTCTCACTCTCTGATCCCCTATGTAACAAAATTATGCACAATCAGACGTAAATATAAAGGGCAGTGTAGTTCCAGTCAGGGTGAGAGGATACAACTGCAGGCAATCACAGCAATAATACTTCTGCTCTCTGCTAAATCACCCCTTTGAAATAAGAACAGACATCAGACTGGGACACACTGACTATAAATCAGGGTTTTTTTTAACTGGAAGATGGGTGTCTTAGTTTCATTTAGGTTTATATTGGTGATAGATTAGTGTGATTTACACACAATAAAAAACAGATTGTGCACAAACTTGTTATATGTGAGAATGTACCTCAGCGTCAGACCGTTCACTTCTCTCTAGTCCATGTGCATCTAGAAAAAAAACCCAGTAATAATAAAGTGATGTTGTGAAAAATTGTAGGACTTATAAACACCACGTCTTCCTGTTTGTTCAGGTGAAACACACTGTAACTGTAAAATGTTGAAGCCTTCAGCAGCAAAAACAGAGGATACCACAGGGTCACCAGTGCTCATGTTTGGCCATGAACTGGAATTTCTATTAATTACATTCCTTATTTCTTGTTTTTTTTTCTTCCATAAATATGTAACTTCTCTTAGTGCCAGTTGGGTTTGAGCATTTACTGTTATGTATATGTGCGGGTAAATTATGGATGAAATGGAATGTCAGATTCTAAATATGCATTTTTCTCTGTGTAATACAATTTTGGGGATGTTTTTTTATTAAATGTTTTACTTCTACTACAGCTCTTTCCTAGTAGTAAGTATTCATAAAAATTAACATAAATGGAACAGTATTGAATCTCACGATGCAGCCATAATAGTTGTGTTGCGTTCTTTCCAAGCAGGGCTAGAACCATGTTATCTTTAATCAACTTTAATCCAGATTAATTTACAGTTGTTTACATCAGATGTCATCAGTGCTTGTGCAGAGTGAACTGTATGAATTATACGTATGTGCCTGTGATTCTCAAACATCTTTGTAACATTTTACACTGTATTCACTTGCATTCTGTCTCTCTCTTTTTAAAAGAACTTCCTTTTTATATGAGGAGCAAAGGATGCATTGTTTTTGTATCAAGTAAGAAGTGATGTATGTGGGAGGATTTTCAATATTGTCCTAATGTCATTAAAAGTGTCAAAATGCAGCTCTCAGTCACATTACAGCCTCTCTGAGTGTCTGTGTGTAATAAGGATTATTATAAATGGAAACCATTCAGCATACATAAACTAACAATAAACAAGTCATGTATTAATAGTTATATTAATATTATTATATTAATAGTATTATTATTATTAATAGCTAGGTGTGTTTAATCTACTAAAAATTTGTGGCACAATCTGCAGTTCGACCTCCAGACCACTAGTCGGCGACAAGATTACCTCAGCTATAGTTCGTTGCGCTTCCTTGAACTTTAACCCCTGGACTAACCTTCATTGACGTACATGTGAGACAGCAGGAGCTGCACTGGAACTGCCATAACCACATCAAATGGTAAGAATATATACTTTTTTCCTTTGTATTCATTTAAATACAACAACACAGATGCGGTAGCCATTAGTATTATATGGTTGTTGTTGAGTCGCAAGTGTGTGACGTATTTGAATGTTCAGTTATTCCAACAGACAGATGTGTCCTCTTCACTCGGGTATATTTATGTAAAGTATTAGATTAGAGTGAAGTTAATATACGAGGGTGCGAGTATAGTCGTGGATGAGTGTAGTTCAGTCTTGTGTAAAAACACTCTTACTTTGGTAAGAGCAGTAAAATATTGGCACTGTAAGGCTGCACATTCTGGTTGTCAGGACTTTGTAATAGAACAGTCCATATTCCAAATAAAAAAATACAAGAACTCTAGAAACTCTCCACCCGTCGTAAAACCGTGGAAGACGTTACGGAGAGGTTTAGCTGTTCTCTTTGCTAACTTGACTACAGACTCAGACAGATACGGTCTATTAACAAGAATAAAATGAAGTCAATGTCACTTTGTCTTTTTTAGGCTTTTCAGACGTCATCATGTCACTGTTAAATGTCACTTTAAGGAAGTGCTGCTCCTGATCGTGTGTCTCTTTTTTTTACAGGCTAAATATCTTGCTCAGATTATTGTGATGGGAGTACAGGTGGTGGGAAGAGCTTTTGCTCGAGCTTTACAACAAGAGTATGCAGGTATGGTAAAGATGCTCAAGATGTTAGCATTCACAGAGCCAGAAGAAAGTTAGTTTGTTAAGAAAAAACTTTAAATAATAAATGATGAGTATTCAGTGGTACCAAGTGATAAAACTTGCTATGTACTGTTTAATGCAACTCAGGTATGAGTCTCCTCATATGTAAGATATATTATTCATTAACAAATACTACTCAGTGTTTGCAGATTTTCTTTCTTTTATATTTGTGTTTGACATTTCAACTGTTCTCCATCACAGCCAGTCAAGCAGCAGCACGAGCCAGGGGCACCGCAGGTCAGCAGTCGGCTGCAGCCTCCAGCATCACTGGGATGGACCTGCAGGAGGCCCAGAAAATCCTTAATCTTTCAACTCTCACTCCTGAGGAGATTCAAAAGGTAACAAATAAAATACAGAGAAATGTAAAATTGGGTACCAGGCCTTGTTTTGTGTGTGTACTGTATACTATGCTGTATAATCTGACTCTGATTAAATGTTTCATTAATTTGATCTGTACATCAACATTTCTGTCTGTGCCTTAAGTAATCTGCTGTCAGTGTAACCTTTATTTTAAATATTAGATGAAATGTATTTGTAACAAATGTTTTTTCTCTTTCAGAACTATGATCATCTTTTTAAAGTTAATGATAAATCAGTGGGTGGTTCGTTTTATCTACAGTCAAAGGTAAACACACCATCTGTCCTCATGTCCTTTTCAATTATTCAGCTCAACAAAACAATACATTTTCTCCTTTAATTTTAACAAATAAATACATTTTGAATCTTTAGTCTGCATGTTATCCTGACTAATAAGTGATGTGTTTAATTCAAATATTTAAACTGCAGAGCAAAAGAAGATAGATCTTGATTTTTTTTTCCCACATTGTGTATTTCTAGTTTCCTTTGACCTATAACCTTTAATATTTTTTTTTACATTTTTAGGTGGTACGAGCGAAAGAACGTCTGGAAGAGGAACTAAGTATTCAGTCAAACCAACAACAACAACAACAACAGAATCAGTCACAGCAGAGCCCAGAAACATGAACTATAATGAGGTTTTCCCTGTCTTTCCTTTTCCCCTCTACTGTAAATTATCACCAATAAATGTCTCCTTTGTCCTTGACTTGACTTTGTGTCCTTATTTCCAGGGGTAAACAATGACCTTGACTTTCAGTCTGAAGGTTGTAGTCTGTGACCTGTGACACATCCCTTTGTGCTTTCATGTGTGTATTGTGTTCAGCTCTGGAACAAAAATGAAAACACAACTTGTATCAAATGCAACTTTATTAAACCTTTTCCTCTTTTCATTGACATTATTATCAATATCGTAATAAAATTCCTCTAAAACAGGAGAACACCGCTATGTTGTACCAATAGACTATTACAACTCCAAAGTTGTGCATGTTCAACCACCGAACATGATGCCAGGAAAAATATATTTTCATAAAATCTTTTTTTTATATAGATTGTAACTTTTAATCTTTTTACCAACAATAAAAAGGCACTTGGAAAATTTCAAATACTGACATATTATCTGACAAATGTGCAAAGAAACATAGGTTGGATCAAGCCTTGAGTGGCCATAGTTTTTGTCATTAACCCTTTGTGCAAGACTGTGGCACTTCAGTCCATGTCACCCAGATACAAAAACCCTGGCCTCAGGTTTTCTGTTCCACTTTCATGAAGCCATGGTTCTTTAAAACCAATGACTGTGGATTACTTTAGAAGCATCCAATGACAGACTTCCAATCAAAGTCTTTTCAAACTGACTGAGCTACAGTGAGCTGGGATACTACAGCCTCACCTTGTCTGTTCTTACAATTTTTTTTGAGGGTGCAAAAGTGCAGTTTGTTACAGTTCTTAGCTCAAAGGGTTAATGCGTCATAGAGCTTACTTTATATTAAAAGATGTCGACCCTGGGAGGGTCTGTGTCGTGGTTGTTCAGCTTTCTGCCGACGTGGTGAGTCTCAACAGAGAAACAGAGGGACAAACAAAGAGGAAACGGAGGAGGCGGAGGAGAGCCGCCGCATCTGTGGGTTAGCTGTTGCCACAGAAACCATGTCTAGTCTATGTAACACCTGTTTTGATGACATCACTGGACCAGGATTGTCCACTCACAGTGGTGATTTGGTTCAATACCGAAGCCCTAAAATAGAGTCAGGCTGTGTGCCTAAGGTGAATGAAGACTGATTACTGAGGCAGGAGCTGAGGTACTGACAGAGTCTCTGCTGTGAGTCTGTGGTCCGTCACTAAGAACCACATTTGCTTTTGTTTACAGCTTGTTTGTGATGCTGGAATGCAGCTCTGTTTTTTTTTTTTTAAGAAGCCTTGTGGTTGGTAGGTAGGGGAGCACAACATTTGGGATTCAGTCTGTAGAAAAAAATAAAGAAGAAAAAACCCAAGGGGCAGATGGAGTTCAGTGGTCCAGTTTTCTGCAGGCTGGTATTTCTGTGAGCGGCTGCCACTTTGGCCACAGCTCAGCTCTGTGACTGCAGAACTGTGAGGACCATTTGCTGAGTGGGCGGCCAGATGGAGAGCGGCTGCAAAGCACAACCGTCCTCTGCCTCTTTTCCTCTGCTGGCACTTTTCCTCCTCATGTTCCTCTGCCCCTCTGTCTCTCGTCCAATCAGTCAGTCACTTCTTTCTGTTTTTGTCTCTTACTCTCCCTCCAAAGCCTTCCTTTCTGTTTTTGTCTCTTACTCTCCCTGCAAAGCCGTATCCACTACTTCACAGTTCAGTTTCTGGATGCTTTGTTAAGTTGACTCTAAAACCGAGGCTGTTTTAAAACTCTGAAAACAACCTTGGACTCAGTATCACGGTGTGTAAGTTAACTTTTTCAGCACTGTATTGTAGCAGTCGGTCGATTATTTGCCATATTGAGAATCTTTAGATCTGATTACATGTTTCATTAATGTGATCCATACATTTCAACATTTCCTCCTATGCCTTGGGTAACCTGCAGAAATACGCAGCCATCGTGATTGTCACTGAGCAGTGTGATGTCATCACATGACATTGGTTTCCAACTCTTTGGCCTCTGATCAGTCAATGCCAACAATATTTCTAACATGATCTGATCACATAAACCAGAATTCACATCAATGCAACAAGTACCTAAATCCAAGCATCTGTTGCCAAGTTTTCTCCTTCAGACCACAGTGTGACGGACTGAAACAATCTGTGTGCTATTTCAAGAGAGCTAACTAAAAAAAAATCAGATCTTAGATTTCAAACACAGCGACAGACTTTTTCTTACGTATTTAGCTCTATATGGACTGTACACCTGGTCAAACAGATAAACAATTTCTGTTTGATTGTTTTCCTCCGTCCTTCACCTCCCAGAGACTCACTGTCAGCAGCAGAAAGCTGAACACAGAGCAGCCATTGAACAAACACAATAAGCAACTTCAACATCATAAATGTCTCGTCTGAACAATTGCAAAAAACAAAACAAAACAAAAAAAAACACATAATGACAAATATAACACAGCATTAACTAGAGTCTAATGATGTTCTAAGACTGTGTAGTGAAAAAGCAAAACCATCAACTAAACACATGGAAAGAGGAGATGGAGGAGGAGGAGAAGAAGTATTTGCTTTGTCCTTGTCTTCCTAGTTTGTCCTCCTTGTCCTCCTCACCAGATCCCCTCTTTCTCTTCTGTGGAGATAACAGTCAACATCATACATACATTAGCTCTGAGGAACCCAGGTCTGGGAGGAGTCCACAGCCAAACTGAACCAAGCAGAAAAATGAAAAAAAAAAGGAGTAAAGTACTTGATTTAGCATTAACATTGTCTTGTTTTGAATGTTGGGAATATAGACTGTGGTAAGTGCATTGTTACCTGATTACACGTGAGTCATGAGAGAAGTTTCCTCAAAAGTCAAATATGTCTTTTGTTTTCTTCCTTGTTTTTGAAAACATTTAGGACAGAGTAAAATGAGGCAGTTTTGTAAAAGTGTGGCTTCTTCCTCAGTCCACCTGGATGTGGCATTAAGTGCATCATCTAACCCCCGCCCCCCGCTCTGTGCCACAATGTACATCCATCCATCACTCTGGTCTCTCCTGGAGCTTCTGGCACAGGATGAGAGCAGTTGAACTGTGAGGAAATAACTTCCCCCGACCTGCAGCGAGCTGGCCTTGGATTAGACGCCACCTGCTTTTCACAGCTGGTTTGGGGTCGGGTCACTTCTTGAGGCGACAACACACTAGTGTTTATCGCCACAGTGGCCCTTTCATACATAAACCTGCTGTGTTGATTTAATTAGGGAAAAGCAGCTGGACAGTCCAGGAGCTAGAAGTGGCTCTGGAAACGGCATGAAGGATGTCCTGTACACTGTACGACCAGAGGGGGGAGCCAGACACACTAGTGCTCGAATATCACTTGTGTAAAAGTGGAACTTATGATTGATCATTGTCAGGTGACTGATGCTATCACCGTTTGTCTGCTCTGTGCCTTACAAGCCCCTAGTCTGCCCACCTGGGCCACACCCTGGTGGACCAGCGTGGTGTCGTTGGTCACCCTCCACACACAGATTGTCAGAAAGTGCTTTCTCCAAGTTGGATGCAACAGCGGAGAAGCTGAAATATTAGCAGCAAAGAATGAGGTTTCAATAGAATAACCAACTGTTAAGTGCTGTGTTTGAGTCACATGTCTCAGATTGTCCTTGTGGACAATGTGTCGGACACAGTCTGAGTTCACCTGCTCTGGAAGAGCAAGTCTGTCAGAATCATATTCATCACGAAAGCCTGTGAAAAATAATAGTCATAAATTGGAAAAGAAAAATAAAATCAACCCTGGAGAACGTTGATACTGTGTTAGCGTTAGCCCAACTGTGAGTGCGTCGTTAAGTTTCAGTGGAGGTTCTGCCTCACTGAGGAGCTGGAGGAACGCTGTCAATGAAGGAGAGTCTCATAAATACTAAAAAGTGAATCAGGGCTTATGTAAGAACACAGAGCACTAAGAGACTGAGACGCTACGTTCATGGTCCTTGTTCACGGTACCAGCAAACAGGAATGAGTCGAGTATAAAATTAGAGACAAAGAGCCAAATCGTACATGTTTCTAGACAGAGTTCTTGGGCCTCTCTGGATTCCAACAATCCGAGAGGCTTGCGTTGTAACACAACATTTTGTGAGGTGTAGTTTTTTTTCTGCTAATAAAGAAAAGTTCTGGCGGAGAATTGTCTGATCTGTGCTGATTTTAAATGCTGGAAATGCAGGTACCATAGATTGAAAACCAGTGCTTTATCCCTGGACATGGGAGACACTGACTGACTGACTGTTCTGTAAACAGTTGCCCAGATTTGGTGTATGACTGGATATGATTCTCCTGAAGAACTGGTTTAAACACACAACACCGTGTCTTAGTAATGGCTGGTTCCTGTTGCTTAGTATTTGTAATGACATTTTGAGCATATTCTCAAACAAAAAAAGTTGAAAGCCTGACATGTTACCAGTAAAGTAGAATGGTCCACACTGGACAAAGTTATTTGTATTTTCCTACCAGATGATCGTGACCTCAAAAAAACATAGCCATTGTTGAAAAAAAGCGAGAAATTTTCCTTTAAATGCATTGTCTTGGTTTTGATTGTGAAAGTCAATCCCCATTACCTTTGACGACCCGTACCCTCATAATGGCCTCAGCCTCATACCCCAACCCCCTGAGCTCTTCTGGAATGTTTGTGTGATTGTGTGTGTGTGTAAAAGTGTATAAGTGTGTGTGCATCAGTTGACCACAGCTGGCTTCAGCACCACAGTGCCTGGAGGGATGACCACCCATGACAGGGGATCATGTGACCCTCCAGTGGAGAGGTTCAGGACCCCTCTGGTCACCTCACTCTCAGCCTCCTCCCTCTGGCCCTTTTTGACCTGCTGACTCTGAAGGCCTCGCTCAGCGGCGGCCCCCAGCATCGGCACCATCGACAGGCCCAGGGCTGAGGTGGGAAAAGCTGGGGAGAGCAGAGGCGACTTTGCCAAGCCCAAGGGTGAGCCGTTGAAGGACAGGATGGACGTCCCTGCTAGGCTGCCAGCGGGAGAGCTGGGACAGCCCACTGAGCTGAGGTCCAAGGGCCGAGGGCTGAGAGGAGACAGGGGCATGGATCCACTCAGACCCTGAAGAGCGTGGCCTCCCAGAAGAGCAGCCGCAGCCCCAGGGATGAAAATGTGGGCTCCGCTCAGATAAGACAGCTCTGGATCTTTACCCCCTCCACCCACAAACCCTCCGCTCTGACTGCCCTTAAGCAGAGAGCCCACTCCACCTGGGGAGCCATGCTCCTGGGCCACAAAGTGACCGTGGGCTTTGATGTGCTTGCGAAGAGAGCTGGGGTCTGTGTAGCGCTTCAGGCAGCCCACCATCTTGCAATAATAAGGCTTGTCCACGTAGTGTGTGCGTGTGTGTTTGAAGCGATCGCTGGAGTTGGAGTAGCGTTTGTTACAACCCTCGTACGGACAGATGTAGGGCTTCTCACCTGCAGGGAGAAAGAGGATTCCAGTGTTTTGTCCAGAGTAAACAATACGTCAGGTATCAGCAGGCGTATCACGTAGAAAAAGATAATAATCAACAGCCAAGTTTAGGAGATCCTGAATTTTAACCCTATCTCTTACATGTCCCACAATAATAAAATATCTTTTAACAAGTAAAAGTGGAAATAGAAAATCCTAAGAACTCATCAGTGGGTTTAGTTGTGATGCCATGTGCTTCTGCTCTGACCTGTGTGTGAGCGGTTGTGTATCTTCAGGTTCTCGAGGCGTGAAAAGCTTTTGTTGCAGGTTGGACAACGGTGCGGTTTCTCATTTGTGTGCGTGCGGATGTGGATGAGCATCTTGTACCTGAAACCACACAAAAATGTAGTTATTTATGTCATCTCACCCTGTCACCTATCATCACAGCTTCTGTCAGTACTGTTGTCAGTACTGTTGTCAGTACCTAGCGTTGAAACCCCTGCCTTTGCGGGCGCAGCCCTCCCAGTGGCAGCAGTACCCAGAATCCTTCTCAGGCTTGACGTGGAAATCATTAACGTGGTCCACCAGGTCTTGAAGAGAGTCAAACAACAGGTGGCACTGGCGACAGAAAAGTGTCCAGTATTTAAATGTTAATACAAAGAAGAAAAGGCACTCTTCTCTCCACCAGTGTGTGGCTCCTACCTTCCTCCAGCGGCAGGCCAGTTGTTCGTCTGCTGACAGTTCTGGTGAAGCTCTCTTGTCGTTTGTTTGGCCGATAAACATGGAGGACGACAGGTGAAGTCCTGTCCCTGCTCCGATTGGCACAAAAAACTGAAAGGCCGGCGAGACGTGGGAATTCTGATGAAATAAAGGAGAGAAAGAAGAAAATATTTGTGTTGTCAGTCTACTGAAATTTTGAGAAATAGATAAAAGACAAATAATCTGCTTTAGACAAATAATATTTGCATCTTCTATGTCAGAAATATTTCCGTGATGTTGAAGTTCTGTCTGTGCATGTGCGACTACGTGAGCTGTGGTGAGAAGCTTTCAGTTCCTCTGCAGGAACTCACATGTGCATCAGTGGGGCATAAATAAAGAGT